TCCATTTTCCGCTCCATCCCCCCTTTCTGACAACTGGGGAGGCCACAAGCAGTCAGGCTGACCCCATATGTCCCCACGCCCCAAAGCAATCCAACATGACGGAGGGCATGGAGTACAGCTTCGTGTTGGCACAGGGCACTGGGGTTGGGCAGAGTCTGCTTGTGCCTGGTGTGATCTGACGGATGATGCAGCAGGCAGCTGCCCCTTATAGTCACAGTGCCTTTCCCAGCCCTGCCTTCCCCCCACCTCCACACCAGCCACGCCAGGACGTTGGTGGAAGGAACGATCTAGGAAGAGCACAGAGATGGCTGCTGACCTGGTCTCCCCGATTCTTTGGAAGGTGTGATACACCTGCAGGAAAAACTGTCGTGGAATGTTGTGCAGCCCCAGGATGTTCTGCGCAAACAAACAAAGGCCCCGTGAAAGCCCAGCTCAGCCCCAAGTCCCAGATGCACCTGACAGGTACCCCAATGCCAGACCAAACAGCATGGCATTGGCCCCTTCCCTTCCCCATGGCGCTGGCCCATGCAGTGTCTTTTGTGGCTGGTATCTGGGAGCTTTCATCAGGGACCAGACCACATAGCTGTGTGCAAACCTCTGGCCAAGGAATTTTCTCCAGATCCTTCCCTCACCCCAAGGAAACTTTGGAGGCTCAGTGGGGAAAACAGTTCCCATTCTCCCAGATGCCTGGTGCTGAGGCAGCTCCAGCCCCAGCCCCATGGAGACAGAGTCCTGCTTCCCATGCAAGCAGACAGGCTCCCCCAAATCTGGTATTCAAACTGGGGTGTTTTCCGTGACCCACGACTGTCCAGCTGCCGCCTCTCGAGTTCTCACTTGTCACCAGAGGCTGACGGCGAATGTGGCTAAAAGAGCTCGGAGGTTCCTCCCAGAAAGAGCACTTGATGAAACCATAAGAGATTAGCCGATGTTTTCTGTTGTCTAGCGCCTTGCAAAGCATATGCTGACCCACGTCCCTCTCTGATTACGGTCAACCACAAAGGAAATGTGGCAATACCTAAAATCACCACAAGGAATGAAGAGGATTGGCCAAGCCATGGACCAGTCAAACCTCACAGCCAATCCCAGCCCCCCCACCTCCCCGCAGAGAAAAATCACCCAGCACAGCAGTCAGATGGTACAGATTGTCCCCAGCCGCAGCATCCCCATAACCCCCGTCGTCAGCAGAGAGGAGGACAGTGTATTTACAAGGGAAGCATACAGCTTGGTTTAGCTTTGTCCACTACCAGGTCCCCCAGGAAGCCCAGCCAATGGGCAGAACATCACCAGCACTGAGCATGGGAGGGGGGGAGCGAGGAACCCACTATGGGTCACCAGCATGGCAGCGCAGGGCACTCACCCCATCCCACCAACCTTGCAAAATCCTTCTAGTGCACTCATCTGGCGCAACTCTTTGTTTGTCTGAGGGGCCAGTGAAGTATCCTTCATGTTTCCACTGATATCACTGTGCTGAGCTAAGCAGACGGTGCACCTGGGCCGGTGAATTTTTATGACAACTTTGCAAGGCTGCATTAGGCCACTGCGCAAGAAATGGAAAAGGCCACATGCAGGAGAAGGTCCTACCTTGACCTGGTTGAAGCTAATGATGACCGAAGCGGCCGAGGTAAACCCTTTAATGACGGGGCAGGAAACGAAGTCCAGTAGGAAACCTGCAAGGGATGGAAATTGCTATAAGGAAGGTGCTCTCCTAGGTACACACTGCAGCATGCACACACATGCAGAGTGCAAGGCTATACAAATCGGAGCTGGACAACAGCAGAGACATTTCTTGCAGGGACAAGTTGCTAGACTGAGAAGCGTCATACAAAAACAAGGCCCAACCTGGCCACAGCATCTCACCGAGGTGCAGGAGACCCATGGCTAGCTGGATACAGCCTGACAGGAAGGTCAGCAGGATGGCATAGGCAGGGTCATGGAACGCATAGGAAGAGACCAGCAGCGACATAATGGCCGTTGGACCCAACGTCACATCTTTTGAGGTCCCCAGCAGGCAGTAGACAAAGCAGCCCATGAAGGAGGAATAGAGACCGTACTGCACAGGAACAAACAGAGCCTTCAGCACCAGAATCACAGCAACCTGGGAACCTGCTCTGATCATGCCGGGAACTGGGCATTCTGAAAGGAGGGCTGGGATTGGTTAACAAAGGGTCTGGCCATGGAAGTATCCCAGGGGAACGTATTGGGTAATCTTCGGAAGAAACGTCTGTAGGACGTTCGTCACCCTGATAGCTGTACCACACACTTTCTGAAAGAGGAACATGGACGGTCCCAGGAGGCTGCCTGCCTTCAGTCCCCCAATGTGCCCTGTAGGGTGACCAGATCTCCCCATTTTATAGGGACGGTCCTGATATTTGGGACTTTTTCTTATATAGGCTCCTATTACCTCCCACCCCTGTCCCGATTTTTCACACTTCCTATCCGGTCACCCTAGTGCCCTGCCACAACCACTCACCTTGCCATGTGTTACTGCCTCGCTAACACCCACCCAGTCCCCAGCTGTTACAATCTTCAGCATTCTGCCAGGATATGCAAGCACCCCACCCCGCACTGTAATCACCCCCACTGTGAACAGTGCCCCCTTTATAATGCTCAGAACTCTGCATTTTTGCAGTGGCTACCATTAAAAACTTGAGGTTTACTGTGTGGCAGTATTTACAATATCCTCTGTGCTGTGACTGGGAAACGCCTCCAATACCACAGTACATTTAGCTACTGCAGCTGGGGAACATCCAGGCTGTAGTGGCATTGGGGGTAGGTGCTATAAAGAGGACACTATGGATTTACTCACACATGGAAAGAGTGAGCTCTAAGCTTGGGTGTATGTAAGGCCAGGTGAGGAGCCTGCATTGATCAGATCAGCACACGCCTATGCCAGGGACAGCCCAAGGGACGTACTTCTCAATGTCCCCAGCACTGAGGCATTGGGGTCCCTGTATGAACAGAGGGAGGGAAGGGAAACAATACTTATTGGTTGCCTCGAGAGGATTCTGCAAAGGAACTCACAACAGCTGCCTCCACCCACCCCTGGCACAACCCTCTGGGTCTAGAATCGAGCAACCCACCTGGACTGGCAGGGCGGCCACCTCGGCATAGGCCAGCGCTTGCGGCACGACCGTCAGGCCCACGGTCACGCCAGCGAGGAGATCGAGCTGCAGCCACCACAGAGAATACTGGGGCAGCCACCTGAGGACAGGGAGCCGCCTCTGCACAGTGTGGTAGGAGCAGCACCGCGCGGGAGCCTCTCGGTCCCGCTCTGCCATAGCAGCTTTCTTGGGGATTCAGGCCGGTGTGTAACACGCTCCAGGCTCCGCTGGGTCTGTCAGGGCACCGCTAGAATCCCCTGCAGCGGTCTCAGGGGACATGGTGACCGGGAGAAGACAGTCTCCTCAGCAGCTCTGTTCAGTAGAGTTCTCTGGTTTTCCAACATACCTGCATGGGAAGGAGGGTCAGAGACTCGGCCTAGGCCGGGGAGGGATGCACGGGGCACTGTCTGTCCATTGATAGCACCAACCGATGGCCTCCTCTCCTTCTGGTCTCCTATCAAGGCCCAGACTGAGGGATGCCTCCACCTCCTCCATTCACCTGGTGAGGTCTCCTAAGGCAGAGCCTTGGCCTTGGGGGCAAGTGCAGAGAACTTGCTGGGTGGAGTTTTTCTGCCCCCTAGAATGGATTCTGGCTCCCTCTCCTGGAACAGGATCCCAGAGGGTCACCGGCTAGCAGCACTCCAGGGCAGGGAGTGGGTCCCAAGGGGCTGGCCTGGGCAGAGTGCTGCTCAACTAGTTTCTCTCTCTCTCTCTTTGGCAAAGAGACGGAAATAGAGAGTTTTTACACGGCGCTGCAAAGAAAGAAGGAGTCCCCCGTTCCCAGAAATGTCCAGCACATGGATCTGGGCAGTAAGTCGCCCAGCAGGGGCTAGTTTGCTCCGACTATTTTACAAAGCCAAGGGCTGGGAACAGAGGCAGACCAGCCAGTGCTAGCTGGATCCGCGGCAGGGACAGGCGGCATACACCTCTCCACCTGTGCAGGGCCAAGGTGACAAAGACCCACCTTGAGGCCCCCGCGCGGTGCTGCGCCTACCACGATGAGGGACACAACAAACCTCATGTCACACAGGAATATCAACAAAGATACATTAGAACTGGGAAAGGTACAGAGAAGGGCAACAAAAATGATCAGGGGTCTGGAACAAGGTCCGTAGGAGGAGCGATCAAAAAGACTAGGACCGTACAGCTGAGAAAAGAGGCAACGAAGGGGGGATACAATAGAGATCTATAAAATCATGAACGTTATGATGGAGAAAGTGACTAGGGAAGTGTTATTTACCCCCTCAGGTAACACAAGAACCAGGGGTCACCTGATGAAATAAACAGGCAGCAGGTTTAAAAGAAGAGGAAGCGCTGCTTCACACCACACACAGTCAACCCCTGGAACTCTTTGCCGGGGGATGTTGCGAAGGCCAAAAGTATAACAGGGTTAAAAAAGGAATTAGATAAGTTCATGGAGGACAGGTCCATCAATAGCCAGGGATGGCTCCTGGGCTGGCCCCGTGTCCTCAGACCCAGAGCAGGGCGAGGCTCCTGGCCCCAGCACTGGAACAATTTGTATGGGGGGGGGGGTGCTGAGAGCCATTGAACCACACAGTAAAACCCTGTCTAGGATGGGAACCACTTCAAGCCCGGGGGGGGGGGCAGCAGCACCCCTAGTTCCAGCCCCTATAGCCGCGAGCCCAGGGACAGGGGCTCCTCTGGGGACACGACTGCCGGGGGGAGCGGTGTGGGGCGCCCCGCGGGGTCGGGGGGGCCCTGGAGAGCTCTGGCTGCCCCGGCCCTGCTTGTCCCGCCCGCTGCCCGGCCAAGGGACCCCCGGCCCCGCACTCACCCGCGCCAGCCGCCGCCGGGCGCCCGGACCCCGGCCCGGCTCATGTGACGTGCCCGGGGCGGAGCCGACGAGGGGGCGGTATCCCCGGCCGGCCCTGCGGGAGCGGCCCGGGCTGCAGGTCGCCATGGGCCTGCGCTGGGCGCTACTGCTGCTGCTCACCCTGCCGCTGGGCCGGGCCCGCAACGTGCTGCTCCTCGTGGGTGAGTGCGGCCGGGGGGTACAGGGAGCGGGGCCAGCTCCCGGACCGGGCACCTGGGGAGCGGGGTCAGCCCCCGGACCGGACCGGACCGGACCGGGCACCTGGGGAGCGGGGCCCGCCGCCGGACCGGGCACCTGGGGAGCGGGGTCAGCTCCCGGACCGGGCACCTGGGGAGCGGGGCCCGCCCCCGGACCGGGCACTTGGGCACCCGGGGAGCGGGGCCAGCCCAGAACCGGACTGGGCCGGGCCGGGCATCTGGGGAGTGGGGTCAGCTCCCGGACCGGGCACCCTGGCACCTGGGGAGCGGGACCCGCCCCCGGACCGGACCGGGCACCTGGGGAGCGGGGTCCGCCCCCGCACCGGGCACCTGAGCACCTGGGGAGCGGGACCAGCCCCAAGACCGGACCAGGCACCCGGGGAGCAGCGCCAGCACCAGGATCGGACCGGGCACCTGGGTAGCGGCGCCAGCCCCCGGACCAGGCACTTGGGGAGCGGGCCTATCCCCCGGACCGGGTACCTAGGGAGTGGGGCCTGACCCCGGGCCGGGCCAGACCGGGCACCTGGGGAGCGGGGCCAGCCCCTGGACCGGGCACCCTGGCACCAGGGATGGCTCCTGGACTGGGCACGGGGATCTGGCTGGCACCCAAAGCTAGACTCTCCTGGTACCCAGACCCTGGGAACAGCAACCAGCCCCTAGACCAGACTCCTCTGGCACCTGGACCCAGGCAACAGGGACCTGGCAGCCAGACCCTGGGACGGGGCACCAGCCCCCTAGACAAGCTCCTAGTGGCCACGAACTCATTAGCCGTGACTCACAGCCATGGGAGCAGCTGCAAGAAGGGGATTCCGGAGTCACTGCTCTGACTAACTGCCCGGTCCCCACTGCAGCCCCTGGGACAGGAACTGCCTGAGCAGCTGGGAGCCGTGTACAGCGAGGGGCTCTGCGGCCTGGTTCACTACAACTCGTGCGCTGCTGCGGCCTGGTTCACTACAACTCGTGCGCTGCTGCGGCCTGGTTCACTACAACTCGTGCGCTGCTGCAGCCTGGGGTGGGTGTAACCGACACTGCAGGGCCCATGGCAGGGTTTGAACTCAGGCTCCCAGAACAGATGCATGAGCATTGGCCCCGTGAGCTAGAGGATGGCACCTGTAGCAGACTCATTAACCTCTCCTGTGGACCAGCCGTGGGGGGATAAATACCCCCCCTCTTCTAGTGCCACATGGGCCCTGAGCTCACAGCCTGCCCTGCTTCTCCCTGCTGCACAGCGGACGATGGCGGCTTTGAGAGCGGCGTGTACAACAACTCCGCCATCAACACCCCCAACCTGGACGCCTTGGCCGGGCGCAGCCTCGTCTTCCGGAACGCCTTCACCTCCGTCAGCAGCTGCTCCCCCAGCAGGGCCAGCATCCTGACCGGCTTACCCCAGGTAGGGCCTTCCCGAGCCACGCGCTGGGCAGGGAGGGTGTGGTTCTGCTGCCTCAGGCACTTGCTGGGCCCATCGATAGCGCCTGGCTATCGGCATTTGTAAGGCATCCAGCCCCGTAGCTCAGCTAGTCCTTCCCTAGGCCCATCAAGGCTCGTTCCCTACACTCCCTGCTCTGGGGCTCTGTCCATGGCTCAAGCAATGAGTCTTCCCCCACTTTCCCTTGATGGCCTATTGCCCATTCCCATGTGTGGTGCCTCAGTGGTAGCACACGCTCAGCCTGTGGCACCTGAAGACGGCTGTGGTTTGGCTCTGCAGGGCGGCCGGTGCAGGGACGTGCGTTCCTGGCCAATTTGTCTCATTGTTGGTCTCTGTTTTGCAGCACCAAAATGGGATGTATGGGCTGCACCAGGACGTGCACCATTTCAACTCCTTTGACAAGGTGCAGAGTCTTTCCCTGCTGCTCAGCCAGGCACATATCCGGACAGGTAAACAGCCAGGAGGCTGGGAAGAGAGGGGAGTGGAAGAGTGTGCAAAGCCATTCCCTTTCCCACACCCGTCTCACTGAACCCCATCCACGCTTGTGAGAGATGGGCAGCGAAACGTGTGCCTAAGATACCACCCCACTAGACAAGTTTCATTAAGTCTCTCTCTCTCTCTCACACACACACACACACACACACACACACAATTTAAATCAAAGTGATTGACATCACCAATTTAGACATGATTTAAATCGCAAGTTTAACCTTGCTTTGCATTTGTCCTTCTCTCATTTTCCTAAAGAAAGGTCGATTCTCATTGGTTGGTAACCATTCAAACATGTCGATTTGCAGCTAAATATGCAGCCTTTATACTACTTGGTGCTCCATTTTGCTAACCAGAAGGATGCAAACATGTATTGCTAAATACTACTTTTTTTTAAACTTAATTTAAATTATTTTAATAGACAATAAGTTTAGGCCTTAACATAGGTGGTCAGTATCAAATTTAATTTTAAATAGGTCTGTTTTTTAAATTAAACCTGGATTTAATTTAAATTTTAAAAATCCAATTTTAATTTAAAAAAATTCTTTTTTTTTATTCATCAACTTTTATCGACCCTGCTCCCACACCCCAGTTGGGGCCTTGACTCTGCATTTCTGCCTGGACTAGTCACTTTCACTTCTGTATCTAGAGACGCCAGTGGCATCTATAGGCCTAATGTGGTTGCGCAAGCCAGTGTTTCCCTGCTGCCCCAAGCATCAGAGCAGGGCAACTCCTAACCCCGCCCCGGGGGAGCATGGAAAGACCGAAGCAGCATCCTCTGCTCTAACTGCCTGCTCACGTGCTTGCTCCTGACGGGCCGGGCTCTTTCTCCTGCAGGGATAATTGGGAAGAAGCACGTTGGGCCGGAGACGGTGTATCCCTTTGATTTTGCGTACACTGAGGAGAACAGTTCTGTGCTGCAGGTGGGCAGAAACATCACCCGGATCAAACGGCTCGTCCGGAAATTCCTGCAGAGCCAGGACGAGAGGTGAGGCCCTGCATGCCCCGCCGCAGGATTCTCTCTGGGACTGAGCAACCTTGCCTCCTAGCACCCTGGTCCTGATGCACAGGGTACCCCTGTGCCTGAGTTACAGGGAGATGCAGTGGTGAGCACCTTCCATCAGGTTACCAGCTCATCCCGGGGACCCTCGGGGGCTCTATGGGAACCAGTTTTGCAGCTCTGAAGGCTTGTCTTCAAGTCCCAATTCATCACAGGTGAAATGAGCTGACGTTTCTCTGTGCAGGTAGCCCCAGGCTTTGGTTGGAGCCAGTTGGAGGCCGTGAGCTAGTGTTATCGCTGGCTCTGGATGGTGGCCCAGGGCTAAGGTTAGGACTGGGGTCCATGGGATGCCTCAGGCTATGCTTGAGCAGTCCTTTCCTGCTCGGCCCGTGCTGTCAGCCTCTCCCGAGCGCTGCAGTCACAAGCCCTCCTCTCGGGATTTCCAGGCCGTTCTTCTTGTACGTCGCCTTCCATGATCCCCATCGCTGCGGCCACTCCCAGCCCCAGTACGGGGCCTTCTGTGAGAAGTTCGGCAATGGCGAGAGTGGCATGGGCTGGATCCCCGACTGGAAGCCCCAGACGTACAGCCCAGAGCATGTGCAGGTAGGACAGGGCCGTTGGGAAGCAGCTGCCCACGCTCCAGGCCAGAGCTGGGCGGCACAGCGGGGAAGAAGGCTCCTGCAGGCAAAGCTGTGGGGTGACTTGGGGTGACCCTGGCCCTTCTTCCCACCCCCACCCCAAGCAGTTACGGGGGGATGAGTGGGGTTAGGAGGGGAGCAGCCCTGAGCACGGAGATGGAGCCACAGTCACTGGCAAGGGCTCTGTCCTCAGTTTAGCTCTGCCGCCTCCTGCGTCCCCTCCCCGCGGCTCTTGGAGCCTCCAGCGCTTAGCAGCTGCTGCGTTTCCTCCCCCCGCAGCTCCCGTACTTCGTTCCAGACACTCCAGCCGCTCGCGCTGACCTGGCCGCCCAGTACACAACAATCGGGCGCATGGACCAAGGCAAGTACCCGCTGTGGTCGGGCAGCAGGACGTGGGGGCCCGAGCCCCCAGCGCAGGGTCTTGCTGGGTGAGAGGAGAAAACCCACCCTCAGCTGGGGCTGGGGACTGGGGCTGGGATGGAGGCAGCCATCCTGCTGGGTGAAAGTGCAGGTGCCCCCCGGCAGCCACACAGCTCTGCTCTTCTCTCTGCACGCAGGGATCGGGCTGGTCCTGGAGGAGCTGCGCAACGCCGGCTTGCATAACAACACACTGGTGATTTACACCTCTGACAACGGCATCCCCTTCCCCAGCGGCAGGACCAACCTGTACTGGTCGGGCACTGCTGAGCCCCTGCTGGTCTCCTCCCCCGAACACCCCGAGCGCTGGGGGCAGGTCAGCCAGGCTTACGCCAGCCTGCTGGGTAAGAGCGGTCACTTCCTCTCTGTGGCCTAGGCAGGGGCTGGGGTCATTAGGGGAGTTGGGTGGGGGCCCCCATACAGTGCTGTGTAGAGCGATGCCAATTCATGTGTCGTCTCCCCCGCCCATGCCCTGACACCACGGGCATGGCTGGGGTGAAGCCCTGGCTCCACAGCCCGAAAGGCGACTCTCTCCCCGCTGGATGGATTTGCTTGTCTTTCCGAAAGAGAGTGAGCCGTGTAATCCCCAATGCCACGGGAACGAGTCTGGGGCCGGAAGGAGGAGGATGGAGTCTGAGAGCATGAAGGTGCCCCGCCCCCGGGGAGAGGGGATTGTGGGATAGGTGGGTAACCCCCTGGATGTACAGGGCCGGCCCCAGCTCCAGAGGGCTCACAAGCCAACAGGGGACAATGGCTCAGGGCTGCAGCAAGGTGGGCGGATCAGTGCGGGAGGGAGGCCTGGAGGAAGTGGGTGTGAAGGAGAAAAGGGCACTGGGGCAGGAAGCGGGAGGCTGTTCCCCGCACAAGGGGAGCCCAGCAAAGGCGTGAGGCTGAGTGTGGAAAGAGAGGAAAGGGGCCGTGAGGAGAGAAGTCCGGGGGCCCTGTCCTCCAGCGGCTCGTGCCGGTGACTGACTCTCCCTGGCGGCCCCACAGGAATGGCAGGGAGCACCCGTCACTCCCGCAGGGCCCAGCTGCAATTCCCGGGACGGCCTCCACCCTCCCGCTGGGTTCTGCCCCCTCCTCTCGGGTCCGAGTCTCTCTTCAGGGGCTGTTCTGCCCCACTCCTCTTGCCAGTTGCAGACGTCGCCCTCTTTTCCCCTCTCCAGATCTCACGCCCACCATCTTGGACTGGTTCGCCATCCCCTATCCCAGCTACAGCATCTTCGGCACCAAGACAGTCCAGCTCACCGGGAAGTCGCTCCTGCCAGCCCTGGTGTCAGAGCAGCCCTGGGTCACGGCCTTCAGCAGCCAGAGCCACCATGAGGTCACCATGTACTACCCCATGCGGGCGATCCAGCACCAGCAGTTCCGCCTGATCCACAACCTCAACTTCAGGATGCCTTTCCCGATCGACCAGGACTTCTACGTCTCGCCAACCTTCCAGGACCTGCTCAGCCGGACCAGAGCCAGGCAGCCGACCCATTGGAACAAGACCCTGCACCAGTACTATTACAGGGACCGCTGGGAGCTGTTCGACCGGAGCAGCGATCCCACCGAGAGCCGGAATCTGGTCTCCGACCCCCAGTACGCCGAGGTCTTGGAGCTGCTCAAAGCCCACCTGTTGAAGTGGCAGTGGGACACTAATGACCCTTGGGTGTGTGCCCCAGACGGCGTCTTAGAGGAAAAACTGAGCCCCCAGTGCCAGCCACTTTACAATGAACTGTGAGTCACCAGCTCACCTTGCGGGAGTCCTGTCTGCATTCCTTACACCAGCCCAGCCCCAGGTCCTGCTTGGCCCTCGGCTCCTCCCCAAATCCTGTTACAGCCCCAGAACCCCCAAGGGAACAGCTAGCTCGTCTGCCAAATGAGACCTCAAGTGCCTAAACATGCAGCCCCCGGGCTCCAGGGTCCACAGAGCGACCCCGCAGCCACGCCAGAGCTCCAGCCACCCTCCGTCTAGCACAAGGTGGGGCAGCAACCAGAGATGGGCTGGTCCCACTCCCCCATTCACACAACTGGCGTGTGCTTTGTGTGTCAAAACAGCATCTGCCCCTGAAGCTCAAACGGGACATTTTCCTCCTCACTGGGGTGTCATCGCACCCGGCAACAGGCAGCGCTGGACTGCAGCCAACCCGAAAGCTGTCAAATACATGATCTCAATAAAGTCGCTGGGAAGAGAACGTCCTCGGCTTACTCACAAGCTAACCTCTGTGCCGATCTCCTGCTGAAGCCACTTCTCACTGCAGCTCTTCCTGCGGTGGCTCCAACAGCACCTCCTGCAGCCGGAGGTTGGCACTGGTGCTGCTGGGAGCTCCCCACATCGGGGCTTTTGCCCCATTTGCCAGGGAGTCTCCTGCTGGCCATGGAGGAGCTGAGAGCCCCTCTCCTTAGGGCTGGTACATTGGATTTGGTGTCACCACCTCAGGGAGGGCCAGGAGGGGTCTGAACACGCAGCAACTGTCAGTAACAACACGGTTTAATTTAGCAAACTACAGAATTGACAGTCCCTGGAACGAGCACATCCGGTTCAGTCCTGGCTCCCTGCTCTCCCCAGGGCTGCAGGAGCAGGGGGCAGAGAGATCCAGAGGGAGCTGGGATACCCAGTACAACGAGGCAGACCCCTGGAGGCAGCTAGCCAGGGAGGAGCCTGCGTGGCGGGGGACACAGCAAGGCCTACAGGAGTTGCTGTTCCCTCCCTGCGCAGGCGGGCTGGCGACTGCACTTCCGAGCAGCTAGTGCCAGGCTGGGAGAACAGGTGGTGGCGGCCCAGGCACCAGGCAGAGGTGCCCTGCCCACTCCGGGGACCCGCCCTGGCACCAGGGACACTGTTCACCCCAGCCAGCCGCCCTTTCACACCATGACAGGGGTGGCATTAAAACCAGCCTCTCTCCCTGAACTAGAGTTACTGTGTTTCTCTGCCGACGGGGCAGAGGCCAGCTGGGCAGGTAGGGGGCTCACCCAGCGCTGCGAAGTCCATTAACCCTTTAGGTAAGAGGGTCTTTCAAACCTCTCCCTCCCCACACCCCAAACCAAACTCTTGGTTTAAATAGGTGACATTTGCAGAGTTGCCAAGGTGACGGTTCCCCCTGCCCCACCCTGTGTCCAGGGAGATCAGTGAAGATCTTGTTCTATCCACACGATCTTCTTCTGCTCGTTGGCGACGGCTGCTCGCACGGCGCTGACGAGCGCATCCAGGTCGCTCCAGGTGTTGGGGGCTATGGTGCCGTACAGGCAGGGCACTTTCTCCAGCTGGGCCTCCTCCCTCCGCACACAGTCCAGAAGCTGCTCCTCTGTCGCTCCGAGACGCTGCAGTGCCTTCCTGAAACAGAGCCCGCGGGAGACTCCGTGAGGGGACGCCCTGAGCCGTGTGACCAGCACAAAGCCGGCTAGCGGCGGAAGAGGCAGTGGTTGAAAAACTCTCGTTGACTTTAGAGCCAGGATTTCACTGTTTGTCCAGTGGCTAGAGAAGGGGATGGAGTCAGGGCTCCTGGGTTCTAGGCTTGCCTCCTGCCGGGAAGCGTGGTTTAGTGACTGTGCAATACACATCACAGTAGTGGGCAGCTGGGAGGCCGGACTCCTGGGTTCCAGTCCCAGCTCTGGCACGAACCACCTGAGCATGAGCATTTTACCTTCCGTGCTCAGGTTGGACGATACCTGCCCTGGGGAAGTGTCTTGAGTCCCCCCAAGAAACAGGGCTGTAGAGGCCACAGGGTTATTGTTCGAGGCCCCTGGGGTGGGCACAAACATTCCCTCAGCAATGCAATGGGGAAGGGCTCACGCCGGCCAGGCTGCTGGGTGCTATTGGACTGTCTTTACATCAATCACTGGTGCAGCCAACCACGGGGGCACCCTGTGGCTCATTCACATCCCCTCCACTGGGTACACACAGGCATTCAGCTGCTGCAGCTGTGGCACGAGGCACCCAGGGGAGGGCAGGCCCAGGCCCTCATTCCCCAGAGCTCCAGCAGCCTCCGGTAAGCAGGAGACGTTTGCCCTGGGGGGCCCCAGCAGCCCGTCTCCGCCCAGAATGCTGGTACGTACTTGAGCTTCTTGGCGTTCTTCTCGCTGATGGAGACGAGGAGGAGGATGGGATAGATCCCCGCGGCGTGCAGGGCTCGCATGCACTCCAGACCCACGTCCAGCAGGCTGTGCACGTCCTAGAGAGAGCCAGGGAGAGAACGCGAGGGGCTGACACCAAGCGGGCTCACTGCGGGAAGGGACAGGCGCTGGCCAGGACTGGTGCTGCTGGTGAGCCAAGAGGCCCTGGCAAGAGCCAGAGAGTCTGCAGCCAGGGAGCATTACAGAGTCCATTGCTGTGCTCTGGCTAGATTCGCCCTCTCTGCTGCCCAGTGTGGGAGCCGCAGGCACTGGGATTAACGGACGGATGGACGCAGATGCCCGGTGGGGTAGCGGGGAGGTTTGGCAGGTCTCGGTGCAGTGTCTGTAGGTGCCTCTGTCCCATCTGCTCCTAACCCAGACATGGCAGGTGCCCCTCCTACCCGCGGGCCCTGCAGCTCTCCCTGGGCGGCCTTCGAGGGGATGCAGGTAACAAACATCAACTGACCTGCTGCATGTTTGAGACCAGATACCCTTCACTCTCCTCCCGGCCCCATGCTGCCAGCTTCTGGCTTCCCGGTCAGGGAAGGCTCTGCTAGTCGGAGCCCAGAGCACCCATCTCAGTCCCAGCCTGCCCCCAGCCCCACACCTGTTACCTTCTCCAGCAGCAGCTGAAGCGCCTGGCGTGTGACACAGCAGCGGCTGTCCGGCTCCCCCTTTTCCCGGACCAAGCTTCTGTTCTGGGCCGTGCATTCAGCCTCACACAGGAGGCCTGGGCGGAGGGAAAGTAGGGAAGGTGCCAAGTGAAGTAACCGAGTCTGATTTGCCGGGAGTGGCCTCATGGGGTCCCCCCCATGTCACCTCAGGCAGCGTGGGCCTCTGGGGAGTGGGAGGAGAGGGGGAGAGACTCACCCAGCAAAGCAGCGCTGACTCCCGTGACAGCGTGAGGGCACCGGGGATGTGAACTCACAGCCCTGACATGCTCCACCCAGATGGGGGAGATCAGCCGGCTTCAGCGGCGGGGCATGGAGGGAGCAAGGTAGCAGGGAGCAAGCCCTGAATGCTGCCAGCCCTGGCCCCTGGATCCACGCTCCTGCATGAGCACAAGGGATGGGAGCCTGCACCCAGCACGGCCATGGCAGGATGTCCAGTGGTGAGAGGATGCTGCAGGGACGTACCTGACGGGCATTTCTCAAAGCCCTTGGTGAGGCACAGCTTGTCGCTCAGGATCTTCCCCAGCAGTGTGGGCACAAAGAGAACAGGGCGCAGCTGGGCCAGCTTGTGGGGTCTCACCAGCGTGTACGGCATCAGCGTGAAGCAGCTCCCTGCCTGCAGGCAGATCCGGGGGCAGGCTAGACAGGCACAAAGGGACAGCAGGACGGTCAGGTGAACCCAGGGCACTGGAACCCCCGTTACTGCCAGGCAGCTGCAGGGCTGGGGCTACGCTGGGGAGGCGGATTCGTGGCAGCTGGCACAGGGCCTGGCATCAGCAAAGGGAACACAGCGGGCAGCTGAGTGTGACAGCAAGAACAATCTAGCCTGTGCCCTTGTTCATCAGACAGCCAAGGCTGGATTTCTAGGGGGGCTAGCGCTGGGATTCACCTGGCCAGCCCCAGGAGTCAGGCTCTGGGCTCTCCGACAGCTCTAGCTAACAACGCACCGTCCGCCTTGTTGGGATCATAGACGTTACAGTCAATGGACGACCACAGAGGGTTGATCTTGCTCTTGTCTGTGCTGATGATCCGCACCAGCTTTGGCTGCCCCCCTGAAGACTGCAGGTCAGAGAGGAGAGGCCTTGAGTTAGCCCCCAGGATGCAGAGCAGCCCCCCTCCCCCCACCGGTGAGACGCCAGCCTGGACACCAGCTCAGCCAGCGTTCAGCAGCTGTCTGACTTTCTGTAATGGTTGCTCACCGTAGACCAAGCGACGGCCCCTGGATACCGCCCAGCCCACCATGCGGCATTAACCTCCACCCCTGGGCTGCCCCAAGCCCGCGGCACGGCGTTCAGTGCTGACAGACTGTCCCATTCCCCTCTCCCACGGCTGCAGCACCTCTGCGGGGCCCTGCTCAGAGGCCAGGGCACAGAAAGTGAATCTCTCCCCAGGGATTCTGCGCACCCAGGCCTCCAGGCCGGGTCCCCTGCGCCCCAAGTTCTGTTACCTTCCGAGCAGACGTGCTCTGCTGGGCCATGTCCTGGATAAGGCCGATGAGCCGTTGCTGAGCCCTAGAGAGCGGGAGAAGCAGAGCGTGGTGTGTTAGAGAGGGGATTAGCTAGCCCCAGGCAAGGGGCAGGTATCTTAGTGAACCCTTCCCATGCATGCTGGGCTGCTGCAGCCACATAAAAGAACCACTGCCTTGGAGCCAAAGAAAAGCATCAAAGAGTCCAGGAGACAAGCAGAAAGCTGGCTGGGCTGGGAAGGAGCTGGCAGAACACGGGCATGTCTGTGCCATGCCAGAAAGGGGCATTAAATACCCTGAGGCAGCTGCAAAAGCAGCAGGAATATTAATCTGGGGGACGAGGCTGCAGGCATCTTGGAGGTTTCGATGGGCTGCAGCCCCCCCCTCAGTGCTGGGACACGTCTGCCTGATGAACCCAGTACACCCCTGCTCTTGGTGGGTGGAGGCTGCGGGGCAGGCGGAGGTACATTCTCTGGGGCTGTGCCACACTCTGCAATGCCCAAGAGGAGCTGTGCTAGGCTGGTACCACATGGGCACATCTATCAGCAGCTGCGCCAGGCCAGGGAAATGCTCTTTGCTGCATGGGATCATGCCACTCCCGGGCAGGGCTGTGCTGCATGAAGGGGACTGTGCAGGCAGCAGCTCTGACACCTCGGAGCAGGCTCCCCCCGGCACGCTGCACAGGCCGCTCACTGGTAGTAGTTGGGGACGATGCCTGCGTCCATGTCCTTCATGCTGTAGGGATTCACCCGGCAGGCACTCCACTGGCTCTCGCCCCGGAACACGGTGTCTGTGACGTGGAGGATGTCATTGCACTGCACCGGCAGCTCCCCCGCTGCCTTCCCTTCCAGGGCCAGGTTGGCCCGGATGTAGAACGAGTCACCCGAGGTCACCACCTTGTTCTCTAGGTCACTCACCAGCCTCTTGTAACCTGGAGAGCAAGAGAGGAGGGCAGCAGGGCGTGGGGGAGGCGAGTGTGCAGCAGGGCATGGGCAGGGGAGTGTGCAATGGGGAGGGGAGCGTGCAACGGGGAGGGGAGTGTGCAACGGGGAGGGGAGCGTGCAGCAGGGCATGGGCAGGGGAGTGTGCAACGGGGAGGGGAGTGTGCAGTGGGGAGGGGAGCGTGCAGCAGGGCATGGGCAGGGGAGTGTGCAACGGGGAGGGGAGTGTGCAGCGGGGAGGGGAGCGTGCAATGGGCAGGAGAGTGTGCAACGGGGAGGGGAGTGTGCAGTGGGGAGGGGAGCGTGCAGCAGGGCATGGGCAGGGGAGTGTGCAACGGGGAGGGGATGCATTGAGGCCGGGAGGACGTGCGGCTACAGCAGGAGGGACTGGGGCAGACCGGAAGGGATTACGGAGGGGGGACCGTGCAGGGGACTGAAGCAGGGAGACGGGAGGGGGATGTGCCAATGAGCAGCAATTGCCTCCGGGGGCCCCTTGGCAGAAGGCTGCAGCCCTTCCCCATTGCGCGTGGCTGGAGGAGCCAGCGACGGTGGATGGATGCAGGCTGAGGAGGGCACGAGAGGGACTTACCCTCCATGTTCATTCTGACAGACAGGCAGCAGAAGCCATTCACCCTCTTCAGGACCCAAAGCGCCTCCTCCAGGGTTGCATCTTCCAGGATGGCCTTGAATGCTGGGTCTGTGACTTCATAATCCACCTGCAGGGGGCCCCAGGTGCAGAGAGACGGGGTGGGCTTAGCAACGAGAACGCTCACCTGGGGGCCCGCAGCCCCGTCCGACCCGACGTCTGGGAGAGACGCACATTCGGGGAGAATGAACTCTCCCCATCTGCTCCCCAGCACCCCGGAGGGGTGGGGCTGCCCGGCCGGGGACTCAGGGTCATGAGGGGCGGGGAGCAGAGACCTGGCTATTCAGGAGTGAATTGGAAGGCCAGACTGGGCTAGCAGGACACTTGCATGCAGTTGGTGCCATTAGGCACAAAGCAGCCCAGCAAGGCAGGCAGCAGATCTACTGGGTCCATTCAGTCTGTTAGCTGGGTCTGGGCACCAGCCCCTCAGGCGCAGTGAACAGGCCCTTGCGAGCTTCTGGCATATCCCACTCGCTTCCCCCCACCACACTGCAGCCACCCCAAGAGGGGAACTTGGTGGCCGCCCAGCAGCACGACCCAGCTCCTTAGGGCACGAGTGGAAAGCGATCTCCTTGCTGCACGGGAACCGCAGGGCACGTGAGAGAGGAGAGACCTCGGCTGGAGCGCTGGGTCCAGCTCTGGACATCTCGCTTTAAGAAACGTGGACAGACTGGAGAGAGCCCAGAGGAGAGCAACAAAAATGACCAAAGGTTTTGAAAACCTGACCTCTGAGGAAAGGTGAAAACGCTGGGCTTGTTTAGTCCTGAGAAAAGAAGCCGGGGGGGGAGGGGACATGGTACCAGTCTGCAGGTGTGCTAAGGGCTGTGTGGACGAGAAAGGGGTCCATCGCTCTCCTTGTCCACTGAGAGTAGGACACCGAGGAACGCGCTTACTCTGCAGCAAGGGAGAGTTTGGTTAGCGATTGGGAAAGACTCTCCGGTTCTAAGGACAGCTCAGCACGGGCACAGGCTGTGGACTCCTGTCATTGGAGGTTTGTAAGAACAGGTTAGACAGACCCCTGCCGGGATGGGTGAGGTGACCCTGGCCCTGCCTCAGGGCAGGGGGACAAACTGCCTGGCCTCTTGAGGGCTCTTCCAGCCCTACGTCTATGATTCTATGAATGTAGCCGCCCGAGCTGGAATTCAGCCAGGACACCAGGCACCCGCCGTGGTCTAGCGAGATCCCATCAGTCAGGACCTTGGCTTGGCCGTTCATCTGAAGAGCAGCGCTTACAACAACTCAGCGCCTGGGGGATGCCAGGCTCGGGCATTCGTTCTCGGCCTTAGTTCAGGGCGATGTGACTGCCGACGAGTGTGAGGGACTAACGAGAGAGAGGCGGAGAGGGAGAGATACGGGGCGGGCGGGCACAGACAGGCAGAGAGGAGATGTCAAGCCCCTTACCACCATGATCTGATTGCCTGGGAACAGAGACATCTCGTCGGCAACTGAGCCGGGAGTGACCCTGTGAATGAAGATGCCCGTCTGGTTGCCCCCGATGATGCTGATCTGCTCCAGCAGGGCAGTGCCGTGGAAGGCAATGGTGGTGATGCGGCTCAGGATGCGCCGTGCGGGCCGCCGGCGAATGGGTGTGCTGGGGAGGGAAGGGAGACACTTCATGTGAGGCAGTGGAAACAGCCAGTTCCAAGCAACCCCACCTCCACCCTGCACCACCCCACTTCCCCCACTACCTTGCAGGGGGTTCACACTAAGGGTCCAGCTGCTATCTCAAGAGGTGACCCCGGAAGCTCAGCTACCCCCATCTGTGCTAAACACAGGGCAAGTGTGGCAAGGAACCAGCGCTAGCCGGAGGCAACGCTTAATAGGTGCCGAGGTTTGCCGGGGGTCAGCCCCAGCCCCTCCTCTGTCAGTGGCGTGTAGCACTGTGCACACGTGTGGAGGAGAGGTGGGGGTGGCCCTTGGGCTGCAGCCAAGTGACTATGGGATTCCTGCCTTAGACAGTCCTCGCTCAGGAACAATGAGACCGCAGCAAGCTTGGGCGTGAATTTACCCGCATTAGCCTGCGCGCTTGGTCTGACTCTCGTGTGCACCCGGCTGACGTGCACTTACAGCTTGTCAGAGCCCTGCCATCTAGTCCTGCTTGAACTAGATCAAAGGCAGCCGCAGCCCCTCTGCGGAGCAGCGCTCCTGGATTTCTACCCCGGAGCTGGATGAGAGCTCAGCACGCAGCGCGTGACTGCGAGAACACAACCAGGAGCTCTGCCCAGGGAGCGCTGCGTCTCCGGAGCTGGACGCCTAGGAGTTCTCACCAAGATCCCAGGGATGAGGCCCTCACCCTGCTTTACTCCAGGCTCCCGTAGGGCAGAGCCCTCCCTAATGGGGGGCAGAAATCCATGGGCAGCGTGACGTACCTCTCAGAGGCAGACGGGTCTAAGTCGAGCGGCTGGGCATTGCCCTCTGAAATGAAGGACAGTTTGAACCAGTGGAGGCAAAGGGACAAGCAAAGGAGGATGAAGAAAACCCCGAGACAGGCCCCTTCCCTCAGTAGTCTCCCCCCGGCACCCCTCTGCGGCTGGCAGCCTGGGCGGGAGGCAGGGTCCATTGCTAGCACCACACACATTTGGCTGGTGAGCCCAGAGATGAGCTGTCACCCAGCCTGCTGCACCGGGCACAGATACGGCCCCCGGAGCCAGCTGCTGGGCCCCTTGTGGTGATGGCACCTAGGCTGGGAGGGCCTGCTCTGCAGCAGAGGATCCCAGACTTCGGGTCATGGTGGCCCTATTAGTGCATCAGTGGGGGGAAGGGCTGGAGATGCCAGACAGGGCGAAGTCACGAGACCCTCAGCTCCCCATGGAAACAAGGCGCTTGGGTCATGCCCTTGGGTGATGCAAGCAGACAACCGAGTCTGCTCTCAGCCGCTTGTTGCCAGTAGGGAAAGGAAACACCCACCGTCCTTCTCCACCATCTCATACTCCAAGTCGGACGACTCCGCCTTCTCCCCTGCAATGAGACTGAAATCCACCTCCAGGAACTCCTGGGAGCTGCTGCAGGGGACAGGAGAGAGGGGACGAGGCAGGTCAGCTTGTGCAGAAGAGAAGAACGTGCCCCTCCCACAGCATCCCGCTGCACAGCTGGAGAGACGGGGCGTCACGCGGCCCAAGCAGGATGGGTTTCAAACAGCCCTGGCTAGTGGCTAATGGAACATATAGCCTGGCACATGGGGGCAATGCCAAGCAGAAGGCCCTGCAGCATGAAGGCTCTGCCCCACCCAGCAAGCGACGCGCTGCTAGGAACAGGGCAAAGCAGGGCTGCAGCATGTGCCACCCTGCAGAGGCTGGAAGAGATGGGGAAGCCCCAGCGCATCCGTACCTCGTGGAGAGGGAGCTCTCTAGGCACTCCTGCGTGGCTCTCTTCTGCAGGGAGAGTTTACAGGGCGGGACAGGGCTGCACGACCGGAAGCTCTCTGGCAGTTCGTGGCTCGTCCTCACGCCGAAATCTGAGCACAGCTGCAAGGGAGGGAGCCATTAGCGTGAATGGCCATTGCTAACCTCTCTGTTCATTCCCACGCCCGGGCCCCCACGTGCCAGGCTCATGCCCACGGAGCTGTGGCCAGAACAAGGCAGGCCCTGCCCTCCCCTCAGCAGTAGGGCTTGGTGGGCCCTGCCCTCTGGCTGTCATCATGCCATGAGGGGAACTGGCGGGGGGAAAGGAGCCTCCCCAGGGCTGCGTGGGAAGACAAGGGGCTGCGGGCGGCAGGAAGGGTCCCGCACCTCGGACACGCTGAGGCTGCCCTGGCTCTCGTCCCCGGGGCAGATGGCATGCATGCGCACCAGCCGCTGTTTCCTCTTTGGCCACTGCTCCCCCGGCTCCAGGCTAGCGAGACCTTCCCCCTTCACCTGCCGAGCAAGCAAACAGCACAGAGAATCGGGTCAGAAAGGGCGGCCATGGGCCACCGGTATAATAGGCTAGGGAAGGCTGTGCCTCCCCAAACAGCCCCACGTGGCCCTGCCCACACTCCGCCCCGAGGCCTCCTCCTGCTGCTAGCTGGCCCCGGCCCAGGCAGGCTGCTCCTCTTCTGGGAAGGGAAGCCTGTGGGGGCTGGGGATAGGGCAGCTGGGACGGGGCTGCCCAGCGCTCGGGGGACGCCCTGTGCTGGGGCCGCGCCACTGAGCGCTCCCAGGCTGAGGCGGAGGCCACGTGCCATCCGCCGGGTGCTCTGGGGCAGGGCTACGCACCGCCTGCCCGCCGGCCCAGTGCTCCGGGGCTGGAGGCACTCGGGTGACCCATGGTGGGGGGGGGTCTGTGCTTGGGGGCAGAAGTGGGGTGGGAGGGGGCGGGGCCTCAGGCGGAAGGGGTGGGCCTGGCCAGGGGCTAGCCTCCCCAAGCCCGTTGTTCACTCACCGCCCATGAGGGCCGCACTCCCCCGTGGGAAGAGGGTGCGGGACAGTTGTTACCAGACAGGCTGACACGGGGATCCCAGCTTGTGCCCTTTGCTCTCAGATTCCCATCTCTTGGGGGGGGTCTTGGCTGGTGGCCAAAAAGCCGTGATCCGGCCTCTGGGCTGGGCCCAGGACCAGCTGGATTTCACAGCACAAAGAGCTCCCCAGGAGCTGTGCCAGGGCCCCAGCCTCTCACCCCGTGCACCCTGCTGCCCAGCTCCGCCTGCTGCTGCCTGGCCTGCTTCCTCAGCTCACAGATCTGGTCCGTCAGCTCAAACACTTTCCTGCGGAGGGAATCCTTCTCCAGCAGGTTCTGGGAGATCTCCAGCTGGGCCGCGTCCCTCGCGCAGTACGCCTGGGGGGACAAACCCGTCAGGGACAGGAGGTTTGGAGCAAAGTGCCGGGGATCCCTGGGCGAGGCACAGCCGGGTGCAGAGGGACAGACACTGACGGTGTAGTCAGGGCAGAGAGCGCGAGAGACCGGCTCAGGGCTGCATGACTTCACAGAGAAGTGGGGGAAGGGGAAGGAGGCCATGGCTACAAACAACAGGCACCCGGGCTAGCCAGCTGAAGCACAGCCCCGCGGCACGAGGGAGAGGCCTTGTGGCCACTGGGCTCCAAAAAGTCACAAGCCCAGCGAACTGCAGAATCTCCATTCACTGTGGCTTGATCAATCCCAAGGCCAGCAGAGACCACTGGGACCATGTGGTCTGACTCCCTGCATGACACCAGCCAAAGAACGTCCCCAAATCAGTCTGTGCGCTTGCGGCCACCTTGTTCAGCACCAGGGTCTGAACCAGGGACCTGCAGAGCTGACAGCACCAGCCGCGACTGCTTGAGCTAAGGAGCCCAGCTGTGTAGTGGGGGCTGTAACAGAATCCCATCCTCTAGGGAGCTGGCCCAGAGGAGACACCCCCTGAGCAGGGGATATACATGCAATCTGCCACTCCCATACAGAGGAAGGCCTCCACCCCCACCCAGCCAGGCGGGCAGGGACCCCTGGGTACCTGATCTCGCTCCTTCTGCAGCTCGGCCACTTGCCCCTGCAAGGCACTGATTTTCTCCTTGTAGATCTCACAATCCACCTTCATTTTGTGGCACTCAATCAGGGTGTGCTCCTTCTCCTCCCAGTACTGAAGGGAGACACAGGGAGTCAGGCGGGCAGCAGGATCAGGAGGGAGCCAGCAAAGGGGACAGGTGAAAGCCCCCAAGAACAGTTGTCCCGCCCTGAGGGAGACGGATCCTGGATCTGGTCTCCCAAGGTTACCTGCAGTCCCCAAAGAATCCCCCCTGCATAGGCCAGTTTGGTGGCCCCCTTGGCCAGATTTCCATGCTGTGTGGCAAGGCAGGGCTTTCACCCATGTGGTTAGTGGGACCAGGCATTAGACTAGGAAGGCCAGCCAGAAGACGACACCCCATGGTGTGGGGAAGGAGGTCGTGAGAAGATGCCCTGCTCCATAAACCTCGGGTTTGCCTTTGATCCACTCCCCGTTTTAGGGGTGATTCCTCCCCCCTCCAGCACCTGTTCCCAGTTCCTCAGGGCTGGCAGCTCTGACCTGCTTGCGCTGATTCTCAGCGATCACTGCCTGCTCCCTCAGCGAGTGGATTCGATTGAGGAGCTCCTGTTTGCCCTCCAGAGCCTCATCCAGGTTCTGCTCCAGGATATCCTTCTGCACCTGGCCAAGCAACACCAACGGGTTAGCGGGGCTCCCCCAAGGTCAGGAACGAGGCTGCTGCCCAGGCAGCGTTGTGCATCCCGGCTAGACCTTGGGGATCTGCCTCCCCAGCAAACCCTGTTCCCACCAGGCACCCCGTGGCTCCCGGACTGCCCACGAGGGAGCTGGGAACTAAGGGGGAGGCTTTACCAGGCTGAAAGTCTCCAGCTCCACCAGTGACCGGAGCTTCTCGTTTTCCTCCCTCAGCTGCAGCAGCTCATCCGCCTGTGGCTGCAGGTCGCTGGGCATGCGCAGGGACCTCTCCCTCTCGTAGTAGGTCTCCACCCTGGCTCGCTGCAGCTCCTGCTTCATCAGATACAGCTGCCAGAGGACAAAGAGAGCACAGGTCCCTAGCATTGCACTCGGCTGCGTCGTGCCAGCTACACTGCGCCCGGCGTTTACTCTAGAACCCGGCGTCTAGAGTGGGAAAGGCTGCCTTGTTGTGTGCACAGAATGTTGCATTTTTGGGAACACAACTGTGGGCCATGTTCTAGAACCCCGACTTGAGTGTTCACACCGAGCTGAGAAGACCACGTTAACTGCGGAAAGGACGAGATTGGTCTGTTTTGCTCTAGAACAGAACCCCCCTGACCATGACTTTGGAACGTGGGACCGTGTTCTAGAATGTGGCACATGGCTTGCTCTAGAACCCAGGATTCTACATTAGCTCTGTAACAGAGACGAGATCATTCACTCTAGAACACAGACCTACCCCCTTCATTTTAGAGCACGTACCCACCCTTTGTTCTAGACGGCTGTCTTCTCTCTTGGACATGGGACATGTTTATAAAGTGCTGATGCAGGGAGGAAAAGCAACTCTGAGCCAGAAATTTCAACAAGGCTCCGTGGGGGTTTGTCAGCACTTCTGTTACTAAGGTGATTTCAGATTCGATGAGCAAAACATAGCGGGGGGATCCCACCTCTCCAGACTGTTTGAAGCCCCTTGGAACCGGTCTGGGGGAGCTTTGCCAGTTTTGGTTGGATATATTCCTAGAGGTTTCATCACCTGACATAATCTTTAATTAAAGATTAATCTTTAATTCCTGGAGGCTCCAGGACAATCCTGGAGGGTTGGCAACCATAGTGGGGGAGTGAAAGCCCACCCCCCCCACCTGCCTTTTTGCTTCGTTTAATTTTGTATTAATTTCCCACGGCTCGAAGGAGTAACTCATGTGAACGGTCCAACACGTCCCGGACCCCTGGGAGTCAGAGCAGAGTGACTGAGCCCCCACACTGCAGCCGGGCAAAGAGAAAAGGGAATCCCGGTTCACACCCCTCCGGGGGCCTGGGTGGGCAAGTCAGTGTCACCCTCGTATGGTGCGTCCACTGCCCCCAGGCCTCCCTCCTGCACCACAGAGGGGAGCAGGGTGCGCATGGCCCGGGGTGCTGGCCCAGCCATCCGCTCTCTCTCAGGCAGCACTCGACAGGCGTAGGGAAGGGGAGGCTGGGGGTGGAGATCTAGGATCCCTCCAGCCCTGGCTGCTAGGTCCCTGGGGGACGAGGAAGCATACGCTGTGCTGTCGCGAATGGCTTGGCAGGAGCTCTGGTACGAAGGGGACGAGTGGGTCTGGATACTGAGACCGACAGAAACTCACAACCTGGAGTTAACGAGGAAGAGCCCTACGGGCCCCAGGGGGTTCCCTACCCCAGCGCCCTGGCCTGCCGGTCCCACCCCCTTTGGGGTAGCCATCTATTGAGCTGCAGGACTGTTGGGGGCAGTCGACGTGCCAGCCCTGGGGGAGGAGGGGCATTGAGGACTGGATATCAGCAAGAGCTGTTGGGTGAAAAGCGAACCCAGCCAGCGGGGCCAGGCATCCCCGGTGGGACGTCCATGGCAGGCACGTGCTACCCTGGGCACTGCTGCTGTGACGAGGTCCCCGAGGCCGCCTCCGAGCGGCTTGGGGCTGCGCTTACCTCCTCTTGCAGGCCCTGGCTCCGCGTGATGGCCAGGTCCTTCTCCTGCAGGGCGTTGGTGTAGTGCATGGACAGGTTGTACATCTCATCCTTCAGCTTCAGCACCTCGTGGAAGTGGGAGCTGACCTCCCTCTTCATGCGGTTGTGCTCGGCCTCGATGCCCCGCAGACACTTGTTCTGGGCCTCCAGCTGGGGCACGCGGTCCTTCAGCTGGCGGCAGTGGTGCAGCAGAGACGCCTTCTGGTGCTTCTCCTGGGTCAGCTCCTCCTGCAAGCTGTTCACGGCCTTCGCCAGGCACTCGGTCAGCTTGGAGGTCTCGATCAGGCCTGCGGTGAGGGGAGATCAGCTCCGGCCAGCACGAATCAGCTGAGAGACCTCCCCGGCCCATGCTCTATAGCGCCTGCGTGCCAAGCGCTTCCGAGCAGGCTCTGAGCCCCAGCCCCCTGCGCACCCCGGATCAGCAGCAGGGACGGGGCCCCGGCTCACTAGTCGCCGTATACATTTCACAGGAGCTCCCACTTCCTAGAGGCAGTCCGATGCCCTCCCAGGGCTCTGCCCGTCCCCTCCCCGGTGCTCCCCAGGGCAGGGAGAGCGGAGGGACGTCCCTTCCCTAGCGGATGAGCAAGGTGATTTACGATCACCGTGGAACGTTGTTGTTGATTATTTTTGCTATGGTGGAGCCTACGGGCCTCGGTCAAGGCTTGGTGCCCCGTCGTGCTGGGTGCTGTCCGTGCGTGTAATGAACTGACGGTGCCTGTCCCAGAGACGCCCATAGCTCACCCCTCGGCTCTGCCCTGGTCCGGGGGCTGGGGCCAGTTTGCTCTGCCAGTAGCATGGCAATAGTAGCCAGGGCATTATATGGACACAGGTTACGGCTCCTGCCCCGTATTCCACCTCATGCCCTCCACAGGGCGATATTGTGGCCTGTGTCCAGGCAATGTAATTACGACTGCAGTGCGCTGGTGGAACGACCCAGCTCCAGTCGCTGGACCAGCGCAGCAGAACAGTAGCTACTAGCCAGTTTGGAAACAATCTCACGCTGTCCTCCCGTGCTGCCCTGCAGTGAGGGCTCGCGGCTGGGGGTTCCCCTCACAGCTGGCCTGGCTCAGAGACAGCTCTGGCAACGGGGGGAGACTTACCACTGAAGTTGTTGAGGTCAATGGAGGGCTCCAGGCCAGTTATCAGGGTGTAGGTGTCGGGGTTGTGAAGTTTCAGGCTTTCCAGGAAGGCCAAGGCTCCGTTCTTCCCCCGGGTTTTCAGAAGATCCAACATGTGGCCTAGAGATGGGTTAGAAAACCACAGGCTCGCTGACCACAGGCCTAGCAGGACCCAGAGTGCCCCTGGAGCCAGATGTGGGGACACATCCCCGCAAAGGCCCCGTTTTCGGCTCCAGCTGGTGTCTGGCTGGGCTGATGGCTCTGCAGCTCTCCCCAGGTCTGTATCAAACCCGCTCTGCGCGGCCCACGTTCATTAGTCACCTGACACAGCGTAAAGAGAAACAAAAATAATAAACTGAGGCCAGGTGCACATGGGTGGAGCTGGGAGGGGGGATTCTCCTCCCAGGTCTGCCCGCAGGCATCAGCCGGGCACGTCTCCATAGCAAGATACAGCAGAGCAGTCGAGCTGTGAGCTCCCCAGAAACAGTGAACGCATGTAAACATGGACCAAGCAGAGAGCCTTGTCCCCAGCGCTGCCTGCCGGGGCGAGAGGTAACGCCCTGGGGCGCCGCACCGGAGCTGCTGACAATGTGTGAGGGAAGCAGGCGCCGTTGTGCACCCAGGAGGCCTCTCAGCAAGCCCGGTGCTGCGCTAAGTGCACTGCCAGGTAGCAGCCCCCGGTCCCAGGGCTGGCCCCAGCCTCTTGCTCCCCGTGGGAAGAGGTGGCGCATGCAGCAACGGCCAGTCTGAGCAGCAGGGTAAGGGACAGCGTTTAGCAGCTCTGGAGGGGATCCCAGCCAGCCCTTGTCCATAAGCAGCAGCTCCAAGATGGGGCCCTCAGGGAAGAGCCCTTGTCCCGGACACTCACCCACTCTCATGGCGCTGTTGGTGAACTGGGGGCCATGCAGAACCTCCTCCTCATCCAGCTGGTCCAGGACCTTGGCCTGGCGCAGGTAGGGGGTGAGCCGGTTCGGGCAGGTGCTGCGCACGATCCGGTAGCGATGGCTCTCCAGAATCTCCCAGAGCTGCTCCTCATCCAGGTCCCGGAGCTCCGTGTCTGCCTGGCAAGAGACTGCCATAGCAGGGGCCTACCGGGGGCAGAGGAGGGATGGAGGTGAGAGAAAAGCAGGAGGAAGAGGAGAAGAGAAGAGAGATGCTGGTGAAAGACCAGGCCCGGCCCTGGAGGGCACATTACGGGTTACCTATCAGTGGTCGCTGGGAAGACAAGATTCTTCATGGTGGTTTGGGACAATGTAGAATAACTATGGAATTGGGGAATTAGGGTTAGCGTAAATCTCTGTGTTGTGAAGGAAGGTCCTGCCTTGCACATGGCAGGAAGCCTTGACAATAGCGAGGCTTTTGACGGAGGGAGGAACCCAGACGTCCTCCCTCCGTCATTCCTAAGGCCAGAAGGAATGACGGAGGGAGGACGTCTGGTTCAAAGACGAACTAAAGAGAGAAGGGGAAGCTTCTAAAAGGAAGGCCTCTGACTGGCAGGGGTGACCACAGATGGTTTTAAACAAGACAAAAAGAATCTGTCTTAAAATGAGCCAGCACGGCCCTTCCCACCCGCCCTACCAGCCTTATCAGACCCGTAAAGCCCATGGGAACCAGGTGCAATGGGAAGCCGTTGGTTGGCAAGAAGGAGGGGTAGAGACAAGGAGCAAAGGTCTTGGGAGAAGAAGGGGGTAAATCTGGACTGAAATTGGAACTGGAGCTGGTTGTTAGCTAACGTGGTAATCAGCTGTGGCATCATTTGTGAGTTGAAGGGTATAAAAAGCGTTCGGAATCGGAGGGGGTTTGTGCTGGAGCACGCCAGGATGGGACGGTTTTCCCTAGGTCTAGCCTGTTTGTCAGCATACTGATCACACACTTGTGAACACATTGTTACTGGATTGGGGTGTTGGGACTAATTCCTTTTAGGCTCGTGGGCAGGGTTACAGCAATTGTATAAAATACCATTTGGCCTTTGGACTTAAAGGCGTTTGTGGTTAAATTAGTGTCTGGTGGGTTCCCGTGTTAATATTAATCATTACTAATAATTCCAACTGACAGGAAGTGATGCACTACTGCTCTGCAGTGTGTAGCAGCTACCATGTTCCACCCCAGAGGCAGCTGCCTTCCAGCGGCAGGTGAAGTGAGTCTGACACACACAGGTTGCACAGCACTGGAGATCCTCCTTGCTAGTATTAGAGCCAACTGCATGCTCATCCCTATATATACAAACTGGGAAGGAGGGCACGGTCCCGGCCCCAGCCCCAAGGCACCTCCATTCTTAGTCCTGTCAAGACGGGAGGCACCAGATAACCATAAAATACCCAGCAATCCTCAACTGCCCAAGGTTCTGGCCCCTGGTTCATGTATTTCCAACAGTTCTTGCCCAGATATTTTCAGCAGGGAAAAAACAGTGAAGCAAGAAGAAAGCGAGGCTATTTAAAAGGAGAAAAGCAGCGTCCCCCAGAGCTTCAGGAAAAGGGGCCCTAAGCCCGTCACCAGAACCCTGCATTCCTGTCCTCACCCCCCACGGCCCCATAGCCCTGGTCTCACCCCCTTGCTCCCTCGGGGAAAGGGTCCCTGCCCACACCTGGGACACAGGAGATGGACTGAACACACCAGTGTGGTTTCCCTCTTCCCCTCCTGCGGCCATCAGTGCCGGGCTGGGGTCGCGTGGAGCAGGAACGCGGCTCTGCAGTGCTAGAGGGGCTGCTGCTCCGGTGCGTGGGTCCCTCGCACAGGGCATGGGTGGGTCCCAGCCGGTGATTTCCCCTGGGCTCAGAGGGGCACAAAATCCAGTGGGGAGGGAAACGCCTCTCCTCAGGAGCAGGGACAAAAACCCTTTACACGCACGAGCCTTGGCTGGTATCTGTAGCAGGGCAGACAAGGAACCCGGGGGCTGGCGCCAGCCAGGGGGATGAGCACAGCCCAGCCCTGGCTGCTGGTGCAGTGGCGCTTGCCCTGGGCCAGCCTGGGCCCCACTCAAAGGCCTCGGGGGCTGCGTCGCGTGACGATGGATAAGATGGAGGAAGCAGGCCTGCTCACCCCCCTCTGAACCCTGGGAACTGCCCTGCTCAGAGCTGGCTCCCTGCTCCCTGGCTGGGAGAGCTGAGCCAAAGGGGGGCGGGGGGAAGAGACCCAGCCAGAGCCTCTGCGGCCCCACGCAGGAGCCGTGCAGGGAAAGCAGCAGGCCTGGGAGAGCAGGCCAAGCGAGGGGCTGTGCCCGGACCGTGAAGGTGCAGGTGGAGCCATGGGGGTGGAGCAAGGGCCAGGAGAAGTTAGACCTCACGTCCTGCCTCCCTCCATGGCTCTAGCCAATAGGCCATTTCTCTTCCTGTCCAAAGCTGCTGGGAGCTGGTGAGGGCAGCTCCGCTCCGCCGGGCATCTGAGTGAGGAGTTTTTGTAGGCAGGCCCCTGTGTGAAGCACTTGGAAGTAAAGGTGTTATTGGCTGTCGTGCATGTGGCCATGCCTTCGCACCGATACCAGAACCGTCACTGCACGTGCTGGTGACGCCCACTCACCCTCAGTGCTCCAGGAGCACGAGGCTGAAAAGAGACCCCCCTCCCCCGCCTCTCCATAACCGCGGGAGCTCACAATGCTCATCTCCTGCGGCTCCCAACAGTCCTCCAGCAAAGCCAGGGCAGGCCAGCCCCGACCTTCCGCTAGCTCGCAGGGCCACAAACCCAGCCTTGCCCCTAGCCTGCGCAGGGCACCTTCCAAGCTAGCAATGCCCACACAGGCCGAGCGCCAGCACAGCAGTAAGGAGGCGGCCTCCCCTGCTTTCACCCAGGCCTTTTGCTCTTTAAACTCACACTTGGCCTTGGGAGACACCCGTCGGGCAGCAGCAGGGCTCCAAACTTGGCCTCCTCCTGGTTCCTCATTCCAGGAATAACTGTGGGAGTCTCTGCCTAGGAGGTTGGGTTCCAGGGCCCAGCAGCTGTTCGGAGGAGTGCCAAGAAGCCCTGGCATAATCCTTTGTTTTGCTCAGCAGCCAGCAGTCTTCAGGCTGGGGGTGTCACGGGGCGAGGAGTACATCCAATGATCTGTAGCTGAGTGTCTCCTTACGCACGGACATGCCGGTACCCGTGTGCCTGCCCCCACGCTCAGGTGGACGGGGGTTGCCCACAGGCTTACCGAGCACTTTACAAACATCAATCAGCCCCCGCCCCTCCCAAGCCAGACCCCTTTAAACATGTTTAGTCAATGACCCCTGTTTCCCAATGACACTTTGCAGGAGTCAAACGCGGAAGCTCTGCACGGCAGGAAAGACTCGGCCTCTCCTCAAGGCAACCAGGAAACCAGCAGGCTCAGACGCTCAGACTTTAAGGTCAGAAGGGACCTTTGTGATCATCTAGGCTGACCCCCGGCACAGCGCAGGCCCCAGAACCCCACCCAGCCCTCCTGCAGTAGAGCCCGGCCTCTGACATCCTCAAATCAGGGTTTAAAGGCTTCAAGCTCCAGCTCTCCAAGGCGGGATGGGCTTGGAGATGCTCGAGTTAGAACCGGAGCTGGGGGGAGGGCTGAGAGTCAAAGGGCTCGTGGCTCAGGCTGGTGCCGAGGGATTCTCCCCTCGCGATCTCGGCGCAGTGAGACACCGAGCCGGAGCGGCTAGGTGAGGAGGTTAGTTCCCTGAACACTGGAACGCGCGAGAACTCTGCAGCACGAGGACTGGGAACCGGGACAGCGGGGCTGTACTCAGCTCTGTCCCGAATCACTGACTGACCTTGGGCCTTCATTTCACCCCCCGCCCCCTACAACGGGAGAGCGATGGCCATTGCCCAGGCCACTGCCGGTGTAAAGTGCTGTGGGGCTGAAGAGGAAGGGTCTCTTCTCCCAGGTGGGATGCTCTGGGCCCAGTGAGGGAGCGTCCCTCGGCTCCTGGACCAGCTCTGCCCCTCCAGCCGCTGCAAGCCCTGTGACCTTTGCCCCCAGCCTCCTCTCGCAGAGCAAACTGGCCCCGTTAACCAGCCGCCTTCCCACCTGAGCTCCAAGAGAGCAGAAGCAGAAGCCAAGGTGCTGGCAGCCCTACCTGTCCCCAGCTGGGTGTCTGCGCTGAGCCGCGTGTGTTTAGGCTCTGGGGCCGTGGCAGCAAGTGATACTGGAGGAACAATCGGCTGCAAAGCAGGTTTGTCAAGAGGGCTGGGTCCTCCAAGGGAGATGAGGCATTTGCCCATTCAGAGGCAGCCAGCAAGCAGGGCCTGTTTCCTCCCAGGCAAGCTGAACTAACAGTGGGATAGACAGTCCCTGTCCAGCATGGCAGAGAGCTAATGGGGGGCTCTCCCCCCCGAGACTGCTGTTATTTAATTTATCAGTGAGGGGCGGGGGTGAAATGAGCAGAGGCCTTGACTACTTTGGTCAATCAAGAGCCGAGAAGGAACTTGTGCTGGACCTCCCATCGCTACGGGAATAGGCAGCACCTATTGGCAGGTTATCTCCTCAGGGATTCCAGCCGGCAGATGATGCTGGAGCAGCAGCAAGGCCTGGGCTGGCTGGGACTTTAAAACAGGAAGTTCAGCCAGGTTCCACGATTGTCCTCACATGACACCGCAGTTCATCTAGCCCCAGCCCCGCGGGCACTGGGGCAGCAGCCACGTACAGGACTCCCAGGCTACATTCAGGGTCACAGTGCAATGGAGTTTCCGTTGAGGTCCCCACTTCTCCCATTCCGCTACAGTGCGCGTCACACGTATTTATGGGCCTGTTCGCCAGCTCAGACTCCTTCCTGTGGGAAAGACTTCGCCACCCCCCTACTTATGCAGCAAGCTGTGAACTTGGCCCAGGCGACGACACCGCTCCCCCTCTGGCATTCCTGGGACACGGCCGGAAGAGTCTCATCACGCACAGCTTCGGGGATGGGACTCGCCCCATGATTTTTTTTTTTAACTACTTGCAAAAAATTCCTATTTTGGGGTGGGGGGAGCTCCCTTGCTGTAGGATTCTAGGGCGTCAGCTGTTACCGGCCCCTTCCCCTCCCCGCTGCCCTGTACAATGCCGGAGAGCACCACCACCCAACCTGCTGGCTGGTGCTTGTCTGTGCACACACAGCTCAGCTCTGCCGCTGCCCACGTAAGAGCCTGCCGGGGA